GATCAATCCCTGTCTTGTTTCACCAGGCTGTTCAGTGTTTATAATGCTAACCCAGGGCCTCCCTTCAATGAAGACATTACAGCAACAGTGTCATGTTATTACACAAACCAGGGGTTACCTGCACAGGTAGTACACAACCCATATTGTTTAAACTAACCCTAGTTAGGGGGTGAACAGAGGCATACATCGCCATGGTTTCAGACTGTCTTCCATCATGTCCTGCAGAGGCTCTGGGGAGAATGTCAGTGTCTGGCTGTACTTATTAAACTAACCCTCGTTATGGGTTAAATGAGGCCCAGTTTCTTAGCTCTCTATCATCTAGAGCCTATTGAGAATACAAGTGTTCCACAAGCTTTTTTAACTCATTGTCAGCAGGAGGTATGTGATGTGGGGATGTGATATATCTTTTATATTTACCACCAACTGGGGATTTGATATAACATATATACAATGATTCCTATTGCCAAGGGGACTAACCCTGAAAAAAGCAAATGACCATTCTGAGCAATTTTGGATCCTAAAACATATAGCAGAAAACTTCAAGAACCACCAATCATCTTCAACACCTATATGTGTTAATGAGCATGCACGTCGGTATATAAGTGCAATAATCTTGGACGCAACGTTAAACCCCATTTCACCTCACCACCATCATAATGTGTTAACTACACAAACACAACAAATTTAGAAAATAAGATCAATGCAAATTCTCATTTTCCTCTAAAAATATGCTGAGAGAGTATGAAAGAAGTACAACCATTGATAAAGACATTTGATTTCAGTAAATTCCTGAGAATCAAACTAAGTTTTGATTTTGTCCTTTATACTTGAAAACCACAATGTGTTCTATTGTTTCATCTCTACTCCCTGTTAGCTCTGATAGATAATTCTGACAAAATCTAGCTCTGGTTAATTATTCTTTAATTTTCCATCTAAAGGTTTTGTGTGAAATGACAATGTGTTATGGCTTTTCCTCCCTGATAGCTCTGATAATTCTGACAAAATCTAGCTCTAGTTAATGACTATGTGTTATGGCTTTTCCTCCCTGATAGCTCTGATAATTCTGACAAAATCTAGCTCTAGTTAATGACTATGTGTTATGGCTTTTCCTCCCTGATAGCTCTGATAATTCTGACAAAATCTAGCTCTAGTTAATGACTATGTGTTATGGCTTTTCCTCCCTGATAGTTCTGATAATTCTGACAAAATCTAGCTCTAGTTAATGACTATGTGTTATGGCTTTTCCTCCCTGATAGCTCTGATAATTCTGACAAAATCTAGCTCTAGTTAATGACTATGTGTTATGACTTTTCCTCCCTGATAGCTCTGATAATTCTGACAAAATCTAGCTCTAGTTAATGACTATGTGTTATGGCTTTTCCTCCCTGATAGCTCTGATAATTCTGACAAAATCTAGCTCTAGTTAATGACTATGTGTTATGACTTTTCCTCCCTGATAGTTCTGATAATTCTGACAAAATCTAGCTCTAGTTAATGACCATGTGTTATGGCTTTTCCTCCCTGTCAGCTCTGATAATTCTGACAAAATCTAGCTCTAATTAATGACTATGTGTTATGGCTTTTCTACCCTGATAGCTCTGATAATTCTGACAAAATCTAACTCTAATTAATGACTATGTGTTATGGCTTTTCCTCCCTGATAGCTCTGATAATTCTGACAAAATCTAGCTCTAGTTAATGACTATGTGTTATGGCTTTTCTTCCCTGTCAGCTTTGGTTAATTATTTTCAATATTCCCTCAAAAAGTGTATTGTGTGAAGCTAGTGGTATAGACATTTGAGAAGCTGTGGTGTATATTGCTATATCACCGTGGTGTATATTGCTGTATCACCCTGGTGATGTTCCCTGACAGCAGCGCCAGGAACAGATCTTGTCACCAGCTGCTTCACCACAGGAGGGAGACAGAGGATTAGATTCACGATGATTAAACAAAACTGCAATTCTAAAGTTTGTAAAAGCTCTGGGAATAAGTCTTCATAACACTATAACTATTAGCTTCATAAACTGAAATAGGGTAGAATGTGAAAAGGTCATATTAACCAACACTGGTACTGGTACTATTGAAAAACAAATTAAATTCTCTTTTTATCAATTTTTGAACCTGTTATAATACATACAACCTACCAAACAAATGTTACTTTTTTACTTAATTCAAACTTCAACACTTTCTTAGGCTTCTTCTTGTTTGTATAAAGAATAGTCACATGTCCTGAAACTAGAGCTACAAGGTATACCTTTCTGTACTATACCCATGATCCAGCAGCAAGGGTTTTACAAGACACTATTTCTCAAGTGTAATGTATTAAAATATTCATCAATTTATTGAGGTGCGCTGGTATACTACAATTTGAAATATGAATGATAGAAAGATACAAAATACATACGTTTGTAAAATACCAGTTTGTTGCATCTTACCAGTATCTGAATCATTATTGCAAGAAATTGAAACACGGAAGTCAGGTCAATAACCACCACTATTAACTTAGTCCCTAAATATGATATTCAGTGAATTCTAATCCATCACACAAAACTGCAACTCTTCTGTACTGTTTAGCCTTGTGTATATGTACTTCATACTTAACATGTGTCCTGTATAACAATGTAAATCATTGTTGGCAATTGAGCAAGCCCCCAGTTCAAGCACCTGTTGAACAGGACAGTAACTTTTTCTAACTATATCTTTTTCTATTGTTATTTCTAAATATTTAATCTCTGGGCTGGCTGCAAGTTTGAATGCTGTGTAGACACATACGAACAAGGCACCTGAAGAGCCAGGTACATACACTCAGGAAAAACTCCATATTTTTTATTGAGGTCAATGGTAATGTTGTGGTTTTCAAGACATGAAACATCAGTGTACTTTCACTCCACTAAACATGTTAAATATAGCTTCATGAATTATGTATGAAGGTGCTATCAGATTGCTAAAAGCCCTGTATACAATATAGCCTACACAAGCAAAGGTTGATATGAGAGGCCATGCACTAGATATGTGATCTCATACATACTCGTACAAAGTTGAAAAGATTGATGTATATCATATTTGTATCAACTAGGTGTGAAATTAAATGGTCATTACATAAGCATGATATAAGTGATATAGAATGTCATATCCATTTCTGTCAATTCCTGCGCCATTTATGCCCTTAACAGATTTGCATTGGCATTTAATACATTATTTGTTAGCTTTCTTGTTAACTACTCACAGATGTATTAAAGATAAAAGGACCTTGCTGTGAAAATACACAGATAAAAGCAATTAATCAGTTTCTTACAAGGCATGAAATGAAATTCCTTATAATAACCACACAACATGATAACAGTAACCTGAAACACACATGTTATGATGGTTATCTTTCAGTAAAAACAAGTTCATTATACATTCAAGGACTAGATATACAACTGTAGTCACTATATGTAATATGATTTGAGTTGGTGTAAATAAGAAATCTAAATTACCTACTTGTGATTCTATTTTCTTCATGAACCTTACACAAAGAGTACTGTCATCTTTTTAATAATGTATAATTATGAGATACTTAAGCATCAATCTGACAAAATCACCTATAAAAGTATCATTATAACATTCTATTTTATATATATATATATATATATATATATATATATATATATATATGTGACAAAATCTTGCAAAATGGATAAACTAAAATGGGACAGATTCAATACTCTCAAAGGACAGTTATTTCATTTCACATGACTCAGAGAAAGAAAGAAGCTTGCTCTGCTTTAAGAAATGGAGGGTCACGCACACAAGAAAGTATGATGTGTACATAACGTTCCCTTCTCTACCACACAGCCCTGCACCCTGTGCTTGTGCCCCATCCCCCAAACACTGCGGAGCACAACTACAGAGGCATAACATTAGCAGCCTGTAACACAATCTCCCACTAATTGACTATAGCATGTTAAGTATTAATTTCATCTTCCAACTGATGTTTTTGCTTATATGCAATGTACTAGAGTTACCGGTTGCCATAACTTCAGGTTATATATCAATAATAAGAGAATTATTATTGCTGTTAAAACAAATTGCTGTTTCCTGTTCATATCACTACCTACTCAGTGATACTGATGTTTAATGTATGACTGTGAAAATGAAATCCGGAAGGTCTGTTGGTGTAATGTGAGGTTTATCAGTTCAATGCATTACAGACATCTCATTAACATTTTTCTCTGTCCTGTGTTTTAACCTTCCATGCAATACATGTACAATCAAAATTACAGATAAGGTGGGATGATATTTTTTTTTATCTGGCATCCATGAAATCAAACATGCATCAAACACATTACCACCGATTAGTCACTATTCTAATTTCATCTTATCAAGTTTTCATTTTGGGGGGATCCATCAGTGTAAATGAGAGACACTAGCCCTTTACTCTATATCACCTAGGCTTATATGTGATATACCTGTTGAATACATACTGTGAACCAGTTACCAAAGAATAAAATGTGTCAATATGTTCCAAACTACACACAATGTTAAACATTATCATTATGAAGATAAAACAATGTTAGAAAAAAGTTACAAAGTATGAAGTTATGTAATGAATAACTGTTTGCCAGTTTCTACATAATATTAGCGAAAGATTTAGATTCTTTGAGAATGTCAAATTACATAAACTATTAAGTGTCCTTCATGAATTATTTTTAAAGAACCAAATGAACACAGGTAAACTTTCATTGGAAATACAAACTTACATAATAACAGTAAACTCTTCAAACAGAATCGAAGGGACACTCAGAATTTAGTTTATTTACAATAATTTAATATATACAGTTCTACGAAGATGTCTAAATCCCCACAGAAACACACCCCTATGTATAGTATTTAATGAGAATGGTAAGTCAAATGGAAGTCGTGTTTGACTTTGACAATATGAAAGGGGTTGACAGAAACTTTGTAGAAGTTTCCATAACAACCGATATTGTTGATAATCAACACAAACATTTCTTACCTATAGTTTTCAGTAAATCCAAGTCTTCCAATGTCGGTGCAGGTTTGTCATCTTCATTTTCGCCAAGGGGGCTGTCTTTTTTCATAGACGACCCATGACGCTTGAGATTAGCAACTTTTGCAGACGCCATTTTGGAGAGGAACGACGCAAGATGCTAACTCAATTGACTTCAACTCGTCCAAAATTAGCCAAACCGAGGCTAAATTATGTCATGGCTGTATCCGAAGTCATAAACAATAGTAGAACGATGATTTCATCGTTGAAAGCGTCTAAGTTCAGTCAGTGCTGAGCGAGAAAGTTCTGACACTCCTTACTGTTAGATCACTGTGTTTGCGAACTCTCGTGTTTTGAAGGTAAATCCTGTGCCTTTCGTCGTCTGCTCGAACGAATTGTAGCCTGAATAGCCTACGTTAGACGCCCTCCCTCGAGGTTCACTAGTATGCCAAAGGGGGGTAACCGGAATGGTTACATGCTGAACGATAATCCGAAATCGGGCTATACGCAAAGCAATAAATATCTACAAGATTGATAATTGCACAATAGACGCCCATTATAGAACTTGGAAGGTATTTCCACTAATAGTATTGGATAAGATATCGTAACAAGAAATCCTGATATCCATAACGAAACCAGCCAAGTCCAAGTCGGGTAAACTGGCAGGCTTGATTGCGCCCGGAGGGTAGGAGATTGGAGATATTTACAATTGTTACATTAACGAATTCTGTGGTTTATTTCGGATGTTAAGATCCTGATACGGATGGCTGTAATTAACAATGAGACAAAACCAAAACAACAACGCCTGTTAAGAAGAAAGATTTACAATTTAATCCGATTTTGAACGTGATTCATTGAATTTTTTATTTTCCTATTTTTATTTATTTTTTTATTTCTGAAACGCATTTATCAAACCTGTTAATGAGTGGGGGTTACGTTGGGAAGATTGCCACGTGGGGAAAAAGATATTATGTTTCGTTAATAGAATGTATGCTTCCGTGTATATCAGTTTTAATCTCAAATGAGAACACACGTTTTATATCACTTTTGTGATTATGTGGTTTCGCGTTTCCAACAAACGTGTGGTTGGTAGACATTCAGATGCGCAGTGGAAATGAATGGACAAATGCATCTGTACTCCGGCCTAGTTATGCGCCTTTGTGCGTCAGAAATATTATTATGTAAACCCATCAGAATTCAAATTTGTCCAGTTATTTACATCTGATAATATTGGTTGTCAAAGAAATTTAGCCAAATGTCTGTGAATCTTAAGAAACAACAATTAAATTAAATAGTAATTTCTCATCGTCGACAAAGTTATGTACTTTATTCTGTACAAACAATAATGTATTGACATTATAATGCATGACCTTTACGCCAAACATCCAATGTATCTTGTGTACATGGCCAGAGGCCAAATATGTCACGAGTCAAAATAAGGTCTGTATGTCTGTAGTAAGGAGGGAGGGAAATGTGTCGTGTGGTCACTCATATACTAGTATACAACTACGAAATGACGAAGTCGAGCCTGGACCAGACAAACCATGGTCGATAGAGATCGAACGACCGACACCGCCTGGTAACGAGAATGCACCTAATTAGACCCTTTTCTACAAGCTTGTTCATTGGAAGTAGTCACAGTCGGTCTCACAGTCCCCGAACCATCTTATATACCCTTCCGCCAAGCCCTTCCTCTCAAGCTATAGCTCTAAATGAAACAAGTCTAGATTTTCCGCGGGTTCCCATCTGACCGGGGCTCTTTTTCAATTGATATATTTTTCAATCATCAAAGACCTTGACCTCCCAATACACATTTTAATCTTCAGCAACCCATACTTGCCGTAAAAGACGACTATGCTTGTCATACGAGGCGACTAACAGGACCGGGTGGTCAGGCTCGCTGACTTGGTTGATGCATGTCATCGTCTCCCAATTGCGTGGATCGATGCTCATGATGTCAATCACTGGATTGTCTGGTCCAGACTCGATTATTTACAGCCCGCCGTCACATAGCTGGAATATTCCTCAGTGCGGCGTTAAACAATTATTTACAGGACATGTAATCAAAGCTGTACTATTGTACTATTGCTTCATGTATGGAACATTCGCACATTAAAGCTGAGACCCGTGAAGATCCTGGGCATAGAATAGTTAGTTATCCAGCAAACCCGTGCTTGCCGTTAAAGGCGACTTTGCTTGTCGTAAGAGGCGACTAACGGGATCGGGTGGTCAGGCTCGCTGACTTGGATGATGCATGTCATACCAATTGCCAGGATCGATGCTCATGATTATTTTCAGACCTACGTCTTTGAGCTTGAATATTGTGGAGTGCGGCGTTACACAACAAACACACATTATAATCGGGCAAGGTAATGAAGATCCAAACTACCCGTCGGGTGTACGATCACACACTAAACAGCCAAGTCCCTCGCGGAGTGTTACACCCCACCCCGCACTACGCTATCCAAGACCCATCTACCCTCAGTATATTACCACCGCCAACATTAGGCATATATCGGACAAGCCTCAAATGCTCTTACTATGCCAGTGAACCCCCTCGGGGCCCATGTCATGAAGTCAAATCCAATATCAAGAGAAATCGGCAGCTTACGTCCCCGGCAAATGATTTAATCTCACTCCACCACTGTGGGAATTATCAGTGATTTAACATAACGTTGACCGTTATACGCCATCCAGTAATACCCCGCACATTCAGAGCCACGTGCACATAGGCGGTGGGGTAGCCTAGCGGTTAAAGAGTTCGCTCGTCACGCCGATGGCCCAGGTTCGATTCCCCACATCAGTACAATGTGTGAAGCCCATTTCAGGTTTCTCCCGCCGTGATATTACTGGAATATTGCTAAAAACTGCGTAAAATCATACTCACTCACTCACTCAGGGTCACAAATTATGCATATTTGTATTATGCACTATATACCCGTATTTTTTATATCTAAGGTTTTTTTTAAGCTTGTGATTTAATATTATGCATATATGATCACAAACGACTCCTTGTTGCCGGATACTGCAGGATTCTGTTTAAATAGGTTCTATACATCGTTGTATGCAAACAAACACACTTCCTGACTAAGTCTATGACGTACAGAGTAAATAAGGAATTAAATATTGAATGAGGAACTATAACCACTTACAGGAAGATCCGGGGTTTAATAGGTCTTCAGCAAACTCATAGTTGGCGTAAAAGGCAACTAACGGAATCGGGTGGTCAGGCTCGCTGACTTGGTTGATAGATGCTCATGATATCAATCACTGGAATGTCTCGTCCAGTTTCGATTATTTACAGGCTGTCGTCATTTAGCTGGATTATTGCTGAATGTGGCGTTAAACAACAAACAAACAAACAAACAAACCAAAAGATAATAAAACTGGCTGGGCTGGGCTAGTCTGTCTTACAGTCCCTAAACCAACATATTTTCCCTTCCGCCCTGCCCTTTCAGTAACGCATTAGCCCTAAATAAAGCAAAAGTAGATTTCCTCAGGTCCTGGATCTCCCATCTCACTTGTGCTCCTTTCCAATTTAGATGGAGTTTTCTTTTATTAAACTGATATATTTCCAGAGACTATGCGCTGAACAATGTCCTGAATGTCGTATTGTTGTCTGCTGTTAATAGTATTGCTTTTTATGTTAATGATTTATTTAGCAGTCTGTGAAGTTATTAGGTTATAAGGTATAAGAACCGACTTTAACATGTTTTTTGCGTTTTAGGGAGTTAGAAAAGAAAAACGATGTTCAAACTTTGCGTAAGTCCGCGCAGAGTAACGGATGTACACAACGTGCACACCGGTTTTTACGTCGATGTCAACGCATTTTATTGACAGTTTTTAAATAGACGCTACACTTTTAGATAGTCATCGAGTCATAAGAAAAGATTGGAAGATCTAAAATAACATGTTGTCTAAATAAGTCCAGAGGCGGATCCAGAATTTTTAAAAACGCGGGCTGAACATAAATACCCAAGTCACGAGGTGACTTTGCCGAGGGCGCGATTAACATATATGGCGTCTGAATCCGCCAGTGACGTCACGGTAGAATCCTCTTTCTTCACACGTCAAAAACACAACATCTTAGGTGCACGTATCTGGCAAAATAAACACTTTATTTGAGTTCATTATACCATGCTTTCGTTACACAAAACCTGACACCAATGCGGTGTTTGAAAGGACCACTGGATGGCTGTACATTAGTCATACCATAGGCTGTCACACAGACCCTGATACAAATACATCCAATACAGCCCATGCAAGTCTATAATGTTTGGCAAGTCTAGATTACTGCAGTATCAGTATCTGAAAATGAAGAGAGTCTCCTTTTTATAATATTTTTATTAACAACTGTGGGTTTTTTTTCTGTAAGACTCGTACCAGTGTATTTAAAGTGTATTTAATTCAGAGATCCAGATAAGCTGCGTATCTGCGTAAAAAACGCATCAGAAATGCAGAAATACGCAGTAAAATAATATCCCAGCGTATCAAATACGCAACGAACATTACAGATACGCTACAAAAATAAAACTTGTGCGTATATTCAAAATATTGTGAAGTAACCCTGCGTATTCGATTGGCAAATCAGCAACTTATTTTGAAATTATAAACGGGCATACCGTCAACCTTGCCAAACTCCACGATGACAGTTACATCATGATCATTTGCCATCACACTTTCTTGTGGAAGTATCGTGGTATTTTTGAGTCCTATAGAGCTCTCGAACCCACACAACACCAGTTTGCAGGGACTAGATGAATAGTGTTTTTAAATATTTAACTTAAATACCCACATGTGTAAAAACTAGTGGGTAACAGAAATTTGAATACCCAGATAGAATAGCTGATACGCAGTGATTTTAAAATGCATGGGTAAAATACCCACAACACCAAAAGCTTATCTGGAGCTCTGAATCTAATATAACTCCCCTGAATCCAGAATATCATCTAACTTTTCACTTTGAGTCTAATCGCTTACCCTTAAATAACGAATACTCCTTAAAAGAAATCTCAAAAGCGTTGAGAAAAGGGTAAGATTTGAAGTTAAATTACAGGACAAATATCGAAAAAATAAAATATTATAACGGAAACGTTTAAGTACATCATTAATTTGTTTAAGTACCAAATACGATTTTATTTGCGTCCCGCGTGAACGCGTACCCTACTACCGTGTCCCGAATACTGTCTAAAAAGACCCCCGAATCCCGCGTGCCAAAAGGTTCGCAGCCACTGTACCGATCGTGCTTTTCGTATGAGCCGATTGAAACGGAGATCGGGTGGCCAGGCTCTCTGACGGTGTTGAACATTGAACATGCTATCCGTCAGGGGTCTGTCCAGATTGATTATATACGGGCAGCCGTGATCAAATGTTGAATAT